TAGTACTTTATTATAATACTATTATTCAGCACAGTCAGATAGAAGAAATGCACATGGCAAGGAGCTTCCATGTCTTTCCTGAGCCTGCCACTCTTTCCACTTCTTGATGACTTTCCTAAAGCTCCCTAAATCTTGTCCTCTAATGGTTTTTATGGAAGTCTCAATTTTTGGCTCTTCTCCCCTCCCTGGAGGCTAAAGGAGGAAACTGAAAGCTAATGCTTCTAATCAAAGTTTGGTCTCTCTGGTGATCAGTCTCTACTCTGATGTTATTTAGGGACCAGCCCTGAGTTTCTCATTAGAAAAAAGGAATCTCTTCAGTTGGAAATGTTCAAGAGCTTTAAGAGCTCTGTAGCAGGAAACAGGGACAAAGATCAAGTATCCTTATAATATAATGCTGATCAGAAATATAATTTCAGTCAAATAAAATGATTTTTAACAATTCTTTCTACAAATGGTAAAATGTATATCTTTTCTATTTATAGTGGGAAAAATTCTATTATGGCTATTTTAATGTAAGGTCTGATTTATTTTATTTTTATATTTATTTATTTTTTTTACTGAGAATCAAACTCATGATGCTGCACTTGACAGGCAGGCGTTTGTGCTGCCTGAGCTGCATCCCTGGACCCTGATGTCTTTTTAAGTAAAAAAAAAATCTATCTTATATGGAAAATATTATCACAGAGTATTACATGATTTGATATTTAAGAGCAAATTAATGATTTGATATAGGTTTGTATTGATAAGATCAAAAACAATCTTTTAAAACTGTACTATAATCAAGAAATATATTTGAAGTATAATTACTTGTAAGTTTAAAATTATGTAGGCTTTTAGTTCAGAGGGTAATATAATACTAATAGGTTTGTTAAGCTCAATTGGGTTCAGAGAACTAGATTTTATACAGAATGTCTTCAGGTTTCTGTGCACTTGGTTGTGCAGGAAGAACCTCAAAATGCTACTAACAAGAAGCTCTTCTTCAGGGTCTGGCTGGAAGCCTGTAATCTCAGGTACTCAGGAGGCTAAGGTAGGAAGACTGGAAGTTTCAGGAGGGGGCCAGGGAATTTAGTAGACTTTGTCTCAAAATAAAATTTTAAGAAGGGCTGGCAGTGTAGCTGAGTAACAGAGTGCTTGCCCAGCATATGCAAAGTCCTGGGTTTGACCATCATCACCAAAAAGAGGAGGTAAAATCCTCCTAAATAACCTAATACATGTGAAATAAGCTAGCACGGGATCTGGGACAGGCAGATGTTTTTTCTTCTTATCCCTCCCTGATTAGCAGATATATTCTCTAAGTTATAAACTAGGTCAAATCATGATGACAGAATGAAAAAAAATTATGATTACAAGAAGAAAAAGGACCAACAGTTACAAATAAAAGCTGAAATAAACACCCTCTGATCTGTATCAGGAACACATCTTCCTTAGGTTTTCTGTTCTCAGACACTTCAAAGAGAAGCACCTGTGAATATGTTCCACTATGTATACTTCTGCACAGTAATGATACCAAGATGAAGAAAACTGTCCTTAAAGTCATTTATTTACAACAGATTACCAGAAGGTAAAATATTCTTTCATTGACGCTGGAAAAGCATGTTCTATTTTCAAAGGAAGAAATGATGCTAAGTTTCCATAAAATATGTAATTAGTATGTTTTAAGTGATGCTGTGGGAAAAGAAAGACTTCACAGTATCTTGGTACTATGGTAACAGGAAACACAAATACATAAAATTAGATTCCAAGGGGACAGTCAAATGTGATCTCTCCTAAAAGGACACTTTCCGTAAATGTGTAAAAATATGTTAATATATAATAATCACAAATTATTAGAAGTTTGGGAATGCTCATTTTTCTTTTTGTTGTACCATCAGTGAAAAGTTACTAATGACACAGCCACACAGGCACGGAAAGAGGCTTAGGAGAATGCTGTGAAATTTCAAGGGAAAATGCACCATAGACTAACTTCATTTTAAGCTTTAAAAGATTTTGGGATAATAGATGCTTTGGAGTTTCATCAACAGAACTACATTTTAATTCACTTATGCAGAAGATTATAGTTCTTTCAATTTTTACATGAAATTCATATAGATTACCTAGAGAAATTCAAGGAACAAGAACTTGAAGAGAAACAATTTCATCATGTTCCACTGTAATAGGTACTCTGAACTTGAAACAGTAGGTAATGAAGGCCTGTGTTTTAAACTAGGCATGGTGGCACACATGGTGTAATTCCAGCTACTTGGAAGGTTGAGGTAGGATTATTATAGGTTTTTGAAGTCAATCTGGGAAATTTAGTGAGATTCTGTCTCAAAATAAAAATAAAAAGGTCTTGAGTTTTGGCTCAGTGATAGTCCTTGCCTACTATGAACAAGGCCTTGGGTTCAAATCCTCAGAAACAAAAATAAAATGGGGAGACCTTTTATGTTTAAAATTCTTAATTACACACAACACATACCCTTAATGAGTTCATATACCATATTGTAACACTGAAGTCCATCAAAACAGTTACTTCAATCACTAGTTAATAGTTTTTGTAAAGAATTCAGAATAAAGCTCCTCCATCATCCTGAGAGTCTTAGTCACTTTTTCATCTGCTTTTTGATTTTAGTATTTTTCAGCAATCAAACTCTCTTCTATTCCGACTTTGTAGACCTGTTCTTTTTGGCAAAACTGAAAACTTTATAAATGGGCTACCTGTTCCTATTTTTTTAAAGCATAAACCCAGTTAAAAAGCAACAATATATTCATGTTACAACCTAAACATTGGGGCTACTTTAAAATCTCCTTTGTCAGATTATTTAATTCATCACTCCTATTCAGTCTCTCAATTTCAAGATGAGCAAAATGTAGATACATATTCTGCCAGGGCTTAATAAAGAGCCTGAAGTCCCACTGCTAATGGAGTCCCTGTTCCCTACTGAAAACTCCTGAGCTTGGTCTTTACCATCTGTCTTATTGTTTTGACTTCTGAGCTCTGACACCAAAAACATTAAACTAAGTCAAAGAAGTCTGATGGTCATAGATTGCATGGTTTCTTCTATGTAATACATTCAGAATATGGATGCGCACTCAGACAGGAAGCGGACTAGTTAGTGGTTCCCAGGGAATAGGGACAGTAGAGGAAAAAAAAGTAATTGCTAAATGGGTTCAGGGTTTCTTTCTGGGGTGAAGAAAACATTTTGAAGAAGTGGTGATTACACACATTGTGAATGTACTAAATGCCACCGAGTTTTTCCACGTTAAAACTACTAATTTTAATTGTTAATTATAACAAGTGTGGTGCCCTGTGTACCAGCGGTAGCCCTGCTAGCTGAGGAGAAACAGAAAGGAAGCTGTGCAGCCCACTGTGTGCCAGAGGCAGCCAAGCTGTCCAGGGAAAACCAGGAAGGAGGCCACCCTCCCAGTCCCACTCTGTGAGACAGCTGGCGTGCACACTGGGAGAGAAGAACCTCCCCCCCACACACACACATTGATGGAGGAATACAGGTTGAGATGCTAATAACTGAAATAAAGAAACAACCTAAAACTTATATTGTTTGATTGACTTTGCAAGCCTGAAGTCTGAGCAACTATTTAGAGGATAACAACAGGCAATACAGTAACTGATAAAATTACATCCAAAAGATGAGAAGTATAAAACAAAAGAGGCCTTAGGGGCTGGGGATTTAGCTCAGTGGCATAAGCGCCTGCCTTGCAAGCAGGCAGTTGTGAGTTCAATCTCCTGTACCGATAAAAAGGAAAAAGACAAAAAAACAAAAACAAAAAAACCCCCAAGCCTTTATTCTGAGAATGCAGAGAGAGAAAAACCAACACACCACCCCCTCTTCCTTCTGGCGGACACGAGGCGTTGGGGGAGGGGTATATAAGAAAGTAGCCTAAGCTTAGAGTAGTGCCCTAGGGCCATTAGAGATGCACAGCTATCTCATTGGCACACGTTTGGCACCAGGGGCAAATTCCTAAGGGTGAGGGGAGATAGAGTCACAGGTAAATCCCTAAGGGTGGGGGAGATAGGAGCTCCCTGGTTCCGGTGGAGGCTTTTCTGGCTACAAAGTCCTGTCTGGGCCAAAACTCTTACAGTAACTATTGTGGATTTCCTACTATCTTATCACTGTTTTGTTTCATTTTATTGTTCTGTTTTATTCCCTTTAGAAAAATTATAACAATTGTAAAATTTTTTTTTTTGGTACTGTGGATTGAACTCACAAACTTGTGCTTGCCAGGCAGGGACTTACTGCCACTGAGCTAAATCCCCAGTCCAACAATTGTAAATTTGCTTTAAAGGAAAACAAACCCAGTACTTTCTCAGTAGATTTGGGTATTTTTTTAATCCCATGACTAACAAATGGGGTTTGGACTGCAACCCACCTAGAAGACCTATTCTACTGCATAAAATAGCAGTTATATTGCATAGAACACGTGTTGCTTGCTTTATAAGGGCTACACAATTGGAATAAGTGGCCCTACTTGACTATTCCAAGAGCAGCTTCTTTAGTGTTTGCTGGTAAATTTCTAACTGTATTTCTATAAAGTTTGTCATTTCATTCTCCATCTCTTTAGTTTCCATCATAGATTTCCAATTTGCTGGCTTTTAATCTATGTGGTCAAAATCTTCCTTTCTTAAAACATAGAAAGTTAATAAGCATCTAAAGTTTTTTAAAAATGATGCTTGTATTACCAGATTATTCTAGTCGTTTTTGTTTGGCATACAATCACGGACATTATTTCTTTGAGGTGGGAGCATATTTTTATTTCATAATGTGATGATCAAATTATTAAGTATGTTTATGCAGGTCAAAAATAAAGATATGGGGGGGGCACTGGTCCAGGTGCAAGGTACATTTCAAGCAAGTTTTATGTTTGGTTATATTATTTTTGTATATTATAAACACTTAACTTATTGCAGTTTGAAGTAATAAATTTCCAAAATGTATGCTAAACAATGATCATTAAAATATTTGCAGCACACAATACAATACAGCACAACACAACACAACACATACCTGGAAGACAAGGTTGATGCTGCTGAGGTACCACGTCTGGTTCTGGAGGTACAGGTATTTCCTCAGAAATATACTTTAAAAGCTCCTTTCCAAGATATGTTACCTGCACATAATTTAAAATATAACCGAAAATCATACATTCTATAAGAGGCAAATACATCTTTTTCTTGAGAATAGTAATTTGCAAAATATTAACTATTACACACAAAACTATAGCTCATGACCAAATTCAGGCTGTCACCTCTTTTTCTAAAGAACATTTTATTAAATAAAGTGGCACTCATTTCTTTAGCATTTCTGGATACTTTTGTGCAGAAACAGAATTGAGAAGTTGTGAAAGAGACTATGTGCTTATGAAATATAAAATATTGTTTACTATCTTGCCCTTTATAAAACATTCTGTTGATTTATGAGGTACTATCATTAATCCTCTCATACATTTACTTATCTAACAACTACTAATATAGCATCTGATACTTTATTACTTCAAAAAAAGTCACAGCACAGTAATACAATTAGACCATTCAAGAAATGAGATAGCAACCTGATGAGATTAATAACATTTTAGGACTAGACATCTATTTAAAAATTGTTTGTGAATGCAAATATTACTATAGCCTCAAAGGCCAGAGTTTAAAAGTATCTGTACATAAATGGGCAAGGCTGAGGCAGATGGCAAAAATATTGTGGACTCAGGGGTCTTTGGATTCTTCCACTCTTAGGTTGGGGGCAGGTTCAATGTGGTAAAAATATCAAGTCTCAACTTGGACATCCTTTCCTTGTCTTCATTGTAACTAAGCATAAGTAATGGCCATGCTCTAGGCTTTTGCAGAATAAGGGATGGTTTCTTTTCTTAAATTCTTATTTCAGTGCTCCTATTCCTGCCATAATATTTATCTCACTTAAATAAAATGAAATAAAATGATATTTTAATAGGTCTCATTTCCATAAACCATAGCTTCTTGAGGATATGTTCTGTGTCAAGTTCATTTTTATGCCTTCAGCATTTCACACCCAACATTATTCAGTAAAAGACTGACGTTCCAATGCCAAAGCAAAATCTCTAAATTCTAAGTGTCAGTTTGTACACTGGTAAAACACGAATCTTCAATTAACCACGTACTATTAGAAGAGATAATGAATAAAAAGTATTTGGTATATTCTCTAGCATATCCTGATGGCCTGTTAAATCAAGCAGCAAGAGAAAAGTATAGGCGATGTATAAGGCATTGAAACCCTCTATGTTCAATCCCACAACTACAATAAACCTAGATGACATTGGCCTAGCTGGAAGGTGTGCCTATCTTTCCTCACTTGCCAAGGAAAGGAGATGAGATGTCCCTAAATGCCTCTCCAAATAAACAACAATAAGAAAGAATGTATTTTACATACGTTACACCCTGACAATGCCCAACACACCTTACCTACCCATTAAAGTACAGTCTTAGTATGTCTGTACCTCTATTTCATCCTTCAAAAATGTATTTCAGTTGGGTATGGAGACGTATGCCTATAATCCAAATACTTTGGGTAACATAAGCCCATCCTGAACAAGACCCTGTCTCAAAATAAAAAATAAAAAGGAGTTGGAGATATATTTATGGCAAAGGCTTGGGTTAAATCCCCAGCACTAAAAAAGAGGTTTTTTTTTTTTTTTTATCACTTAGTACCAGGTAATATAAGGTGGTAATATAAAGTGCCTTACACATACTACTAGAGGTAATTTAGAGATACAAAAATGCTTTAAGAAAATCCACTTAATTAAAATACATTCTCCACAAGGAAGAGATGATTTATTGACTAGGTTAATAAATAGACCTCATAGTGAACAGGCAGTGTGAAAGTGCATTTCACATGGGTGTCTGTGTTCCACTTGGCTGGAGCATAAGAGTCAACAATCATCACACTTTTGTTGACTCAAATCCTGATTCTTAAAAATCTCACTGGATCCAAATTTCACTCACATGCCTACTGTGACAGAGGCAAAGCTGTTAGTTAGTTTGTTAGGTTCTTGGACTTCATGGCCTCTGATGCTCTCAGCAACTTTGCAATCCTAAACCCGTACTGGTGAAGGACAGCTGATGGCATGACATTGTCCCCAATAAGAATAAATGAGGTAGATGAGATTAGTGTAAGCTGCATTCTGTGATGAGAGCTGTAAATTGCTGTGCTCTGGCTTTTCTAAAAGGCAGAGCTGCCGAGGTGCTTTGTTCTAAGGCCACTGATGCTTTTCTTAAGACTCTTACAGCAAAAGGACCATTATTCCTCAGACATCAGACTGTGCTGCTTTCCTAACAGAGGCTGAGGAAGGAGTTAGGTGTGTGCACTGTATGTGCATGTGCACACATACAGATGAGGTGGATGGCTTAGCCAGCTGCTCTTCTGGACCATACTTAGTGAAAATAATGAGAGTAAATCAATTAACTTTATTTTAGTATGATATGAAGACACAAAGCCCAATATTAACTCATAACAAAGTGAGGGCGATATTATATACTAATATGCATCAAGAAAAAAATTCAAGACATAATGTACCTTTGAGTATTAAATAGGTCCAGGAATGTATTTCCCTATTTATAGTTCATTTTGTTTGAAAACATCAGCCCATTTTTCATACGTCTTCAGGAAAAATATTCACTAGTATTGACTAATAAGAATATGTTCAGGGACAAACAAATGACTGTTTTAATTGCACTACAAGTTTTAAGAAGCAAGTCTTACAAATTTTCACTATCTCAAAAAAAGGATAATTTTTAAAAAATTTTACAATGAGGAAAAAAAGAAAAAGAAACAAGAGAAAACTACAGATTTCCTTTTAGATTCATTGTAATATGAAAGATGCTTTGGTTAAGAAAATAATTATTCCTGAAATAAGCAGTTTCTTTAGGAATTGAAAATAAATAAAATTGAAAAGCTGTTTCAAAGCACAATTACTGCCTTCAAACTGCTTTAGGGAACTGATGAAGCAGGTAAAGTTCATCTCTACAGAGTACCGCTCTTCACATTCCAGCTGCAAGACTCTCCCCATTCTCCAACACTGCATGAGACAAGGGCAAGAGAAAGCCCTTCACAGTGTTCACAGGGCAGAGTCACCATTCTTGGGTATCTGTATTTTAGACAAGGTCCACATCTCTAAGCCATCTCCTTCTGTTTCTTCTTTAATGCAACTGAGTATTAGACACTTTGAGATAACTGAGTGAATGAAGCCATCTCTCTAGGTGAACATTTCATTACTTTCTATACTCTTCTCTGATCCTTCTGTACCTTGCAATTCCTAATCATGGCCATTGGAGCAATTTCTTTGTAAAAGTGGTCATGAGGGAAACCACAGAGAAAAATCATCGCTAAATCCAAAGGAATGAATGTGTCAGGGTGGAAATCCAGCAAGGCTTCTTGGATGGGATGTATGCTTACAAGAGATTTAGTGCTCCCTGAGTAACCACCTAAACGACAGCCTACTTTTCATCTCCATCAGTTTGCTCTTGGGCATTTCCAAAACAACTGTCACTGGCAAGGTTAGGATTCTTAGAATTTTCATATGGCAGTTTTATTATAAAAAGGAATTTTTCTTCCTATCCCAAGTACTTGCAGGGCCCAACCTTGTTCAGCATCTGCAATTAGATGAGTTCAGGCATATTCAGGGTCATAGGACCACAGACTGTAAAGGCATATTTTTGTTTCAGAAGTAGGCCATATTTGGTACATGCAACTGAGGCTTTGCATACCTTCATAAAGGTGGCCAGATGACAGTAGGTGCTCTTCAAGTTCATGGTAACTCCTACTTCAAATGAAAGGAATGTGGGCCTATTGTGTGCCATTATTTTAAGTGCAGAAAATAGTATGCCAAGAATCAAAAGACTAGATTCTGGTTCTGGTACCTACTGGACTGAAAGCTAATCAATTTAACTTAACTTCCTACAGCTATTTTCGAATCCATAAATGGAGATAATACTGTAATCCTGCTCCATGAAGAAGCTGTGTAAAAATGCTTTATATATCACACAGTGGATATGCAAGTCCTACAATCTTCAAGCTAAAAGGCTCTTTAGAGATCTAGCACTACTTATTTTATATACTGTATAAAAAACTGAAGTTTAGAAAGGTTGAATAACAATTTAAGTCAATTACTCGCAGTGTGGGGTGCAGATTAGAATTGCTTTAAATACTGCCACATGGTTCCTGATTCAGACTATCGAATGCTCTGGAACAGAGGTTCCCTAAGCGTGGGTGTTTTTTGAAAGCCCATTCTAATGTACAGCCATGATTAAAAGCTGTTGATTAGATCGTCTGACTTTAAAACACTCAAAACAGGAAGTAGCTTGGCCTCCCATCCAGAAATTACAGTGCCATACTGGAATGATGCTTTACAGCTGGAAGGCAGTAGCATAAGGAGAAATCAGGGATGCCTGCTGAGAGTAAGTGCCAAGATTCCTTTGGTGAAGCTGCAGAGCCTTCCAGCCACTTGAGTGGGAGGAATGAGTCATCTCTGTGTCTAGTGGCTATGTTGCTCTGTCTGATGCAGAGCAAGACTTAAGTTTTCTGGCATTTCATGCCAGACAACCAATCATCCCTGCCCTACACCCTCACCATAATTCTCAGAATTAGTAAGTAAATATGTTCATTAACTGGTGCAGCTAAAAGCACCTTTCATCAGGAAATGACCATCAAAGTCTTTTGAAACAAGAGAAGGCAGAAGTTTTGGGGGATAAACTTTAAAAGAGATTTTAAAAGCAATTTAAAAATACTGTAAGAAACTCACTGGGGTTGTTTTGCAGCCTAAGGTATTCAATGAAAGTCCATGAGTGTGACATAAAAGTTTTTAGTGCTCTGTTTTCATTTTTTTTGGATAATCTTAAAGTAATCTAAACCTGTTCACTAATCTATAGGATTACTTTATCCTACAAAAATCTGTAGGATTACTTTACCCTACAAAATATGGGGCCAAGAATTGCCCCATATTTTGGTGTCCATATTCACATTTGGCTTCACTACCACTGGGGTGCTAAACAGTAAGACTCTAATTGGTATGGCTGATGAGAAAACATGAGGCAATGTGATATGTAAATGAGGCATTATTACAGTGTGTGTTAATGATGTAATAGCAGCTATTCAAAGGCAGGAAATGCAGAATCAGGAAATGTCCAAAGAGTGGGAGAACTGTGTTGTTACTGGATACATTGCATCATGGAGGTGCCAAGGTCAAAGGAACCTAAGCCACAGCAAATGGTAACGTAACCTCGCTGTGAGCAAAGATTCACTGTCAGCAAAACAGTATTCTCTACCATCATTTTAAAAAGTCTTATAGTGAAAAGGGACTTTCATGAGCAAATGTTGATTATTAACATTCAAATTAATTATAAATCCATAAAAAGGACTGAGCAAAGGGGCTAGGATGAACTGAAAGCAGATGACCTGGTATTCTAGAGATGGGGGTACAAAAACTACCACAGTGGCCTAGGACAGTGATGGTGAACTTGCAAAGTTTTCAATGACAAAATGCTGGCTGCAGCATGCATGCCATAGATTTCCCACCACTGGTCTAGGAGATCAGGATGCAGGATGCAGAGTTGGGGCAGAGTTTGGGACAATGCAGGAGCTGGTGATGGGCATGGGCAAAGCTGGGTTAGACAAAAAAGAAAACAAACTGCCTATTACTAGTGTCTTGAGGCTTCCTGCAATGGCTTGTAGAGGTTAATGGTACCTTTTATTATTTGAAGCACTAATAGAGGACTAGTAATATATACTTTTCTGAATGAATCACTGTTCCTGAGCGTGGCCATGGGATGACTACTGGACCACAGGGTGTCAGTCAGGACTGACAGGGCTTTTAATGCAAAAGCCAAAAATGCGGGGCTCTGAATGAAAACATTGCTTTTTGAGAAAAGTATTTCTTCAGCAACCTGTGGATATTGCTATGGGCAGAAATGAAAGTTCAGTGTAATTTCTGTGAGTCTTAGGCTTCTTGCCTGTTCTTTTGTACTTAGGGGAAGATTTTGCTTTATTAGAATAATAGCAACATGTGTTAACTACATTATTAATGCATTAGTGGCCCCAAATTTTCTATCTGGAGTCACAAAGACCTAAAATCTATGATGAGGAAAAAAGGCAATTGTGGCAATACAGTCTTTACGCTGAGGTAAAGAGAGGGAAAGAGGGGATGCAGTCAGTCCCATGGCTGTGCTCACAGGAATGCTGGCAAATACAGCTGCTACGCAAAGCGCAACAGAGACATGAGCACAAAACCAGGTTAGAGACTGCTCATATTTCTTCTAAAAAACATTTTGTCACAAAAATATACATCTTTCCAATTGAATATGATGTTACAGACAAATTTAAGAAAGACTCACCTTACTCCAAGCATAATTCCAGGTAACACGACTGTCACCTCCAAGAAGATCCTTCAGCCATGTGACTGGGTTTTGATAAATCTGACCATTTTCTACCTTAATTTTACCACTCAATAAAATACTGGCCTTGTGGGTAGCCTCCTAAAGTAAAAAAAAAAAAAAAGTTAAGATATCTTTACAATGAGTGAACTTGTTTCTGGCCATGATGAAATAAGAGGGACCAAATTTAGCCTTAATCAAAAGCTGATATGAAATAGTAGGTTTGCAAGAAGCCTACAAAGCAACAAAGGACAGAGATCCCTGTGTGGTAAGAACTTCATGTGACAAGTCCTAAAAGTGCCTCAGGTTACTGCTCTGAGACAGCTTCCAAGTCACAGTGTGAGGAAAGAGAAGTCAGGCAAAGCCTGTAGACTCAAAGATGATAAGACAGTGCCAAAATTCCAGGGACAAATACCTGCAGGACAAAGCACCTAAGAAGAAAGAAAGAAAAAAGAATCTTGTAACTTGTCAGAAGGTCCTCCTTAAGTGATCAGTGGGTATGTGTAAGGAAACTGACCAAGATTTTTGAAAAAATAACCACTTGAAAGGATTAGAGCTGCCAGGCATAGTGGAGCATGCCTGTAATCCCAGCCATCAGGAGGCAGAGGCAGGAGGATTGCTTCAAGTTTGAGAATAGCTTGGGCTACAAAGAGAGCTTAAGACCAGCCTGAACTGCACAATGAAACTCTGTCTCAAAAAAATAAACAAACAAATGAATGGGGAAAAAAAAGGAAGGAAGGAAGGATTATAGGTAAGGATGTCATTATTCTCACAGGGCAGGAAGAAATGTCCATAACAAGAAAATAAAAACTTGAAGGCTGGTGAGGCATTTTTAGGGTACGTAAGTAGTAGTAAATAGCCCCAGGGCCAGGTATATAGCTTAGGGCCATAAGCACCTGCATGACAAGTGTAACCTCCCAGTCCAAAAAAAAAAAAAAAAAAAAAAAAAGAAAATAGCTCTAGACTTGCTGTACCAATTACGTGCAAGAAATCTTAACAACACTCAAAAGGATCAAACTACTTTCAATATTTATAATTTAAAGGTATTCTAGAACAAATTTCCAAAAAATTTATAAGTAATAAAAAATATCCAGCATTCAGTGTGGCAAATTTCAGTGTGTAAGATCCAATTTAAAAAAACCAACAAGTCTCAAATTCAATAATATTAGCATAAAATAAGTAATCTTATCAAAAGTCAAATACTGTCTGATTGGATTTAAACATAAAGATCCTATGATATAGTGCATATAGGAGACAGATATGACATTCAAAATCAGGTAGATTGAAAGTAAACAGATGGAAAAGTATAACACAAAAAGAGTAACTATAAGAAAACCGGAATAGATATTCTAATACAGTATCAGACTTACTTTATTTTAAAGTAAGACTTTAAAACAAAAATTGCTACAAAGACAAAGAGGGACATTTTATGTTAAGAAAACCACTGAATCAAGAATATAAGACAGTTATAAACATGTATGCGCTTAAAATACAGAAGAGAACAAAAACACAGAATTAATTGAACTGAAGGGAAAATAAACAATTCAAAAATAAGAATTGTAAAACATCAATACCCTACTTTTAGCAAGAAGGTATACAAGTCAAAAAGGCAGAAGTAAAAGAAGACTTCAACACTATAATCTAACCAGGCAATAGGCATCTATATAAAACTTCATTCAACAGAAGGGAAGATACATTCTCAACTGTACATGAACATTCTCCAGGATAAAGCATTAACTAGTAAGGCCATAAAATAAATCAAAACATGTTTATAAGAACTGAAACAGGGGCTGGGGATTTAGCTCAGCAGCATAAGCGCCTACCTTGCAATGGAATGAAATTAGGAGTAAATAACTGAAAAAAACTGGAATACTCACCATCGTATGAAAATCAAACAACCTATCTCTAAAGAAACAATGGAGCAAACAAGTAATCAAAATGTAAATTACAAAATACTTTCAGAGGATGAAAACAAAACACTGAAACTTAAGAGTCTGCAGCAAAAACAAGGAGTTGAAAAGATACAGCTTAAAAATGCCTACATTAAAAAAAAAAAAAGATCTCTGTTGAACAACCTAACTTTTAACATCAGACAGTGGGAAAAAGAGCAAAATAAACAGAAGTAATTAAGTCATAAGGATTGGTGTGAAAATAAGTAAGATAATAGAAACAGTTGACAAAAATCAGTAAAACCAAAAGTTAACTTTTTCAAAAGTTCCAACAAAACTGGTAAACTTTTAACTTAAGACTTAGAAAATTAATGTCTCAAATTACAGAAATCACAAATGAAAATGGAAACATGATTTTACAGAAATAAAAAAGGTTTACAAAACAATGCTATGAATATTTGCATGTCAATAAATCAGATGAAACAGACAAATTCATAGAAAGATAAAATAACAAAACTGACTCAAAAAGAAACACCTCCAAAGTACTGTATCAGTAAATGGACTGAATTAGTCATTTAAAAATTACCTACACAGCAAGATGGTTTTATTGCTCAATACAATAAAACATTTAAAGAACACTTAATATCAATTCTTCACAAATACTTCCAAAAAACAAGAGAAACATTTTGAAGTCTTTCTATAAGGGTAGACAAAGCAAAGCAAAGACAACATACGAAAACTAAAAACCAATATCGTTAACAAATAAGGATGCAAAATACTAGCAAATCAAATCCAGTGACATATAAAAAGACCATGACCCAGGATGGAGTTTATTCCAGGAATGCAAGGTTGATTTAACATTGTAAAATTAATTAATGGCATATTCTACTATTAATAGAAAAACAAAAAAATTATACATGTTCATCTCAATCTTTTTATATAAAAGAGCATTTGACAAAATCCACTACTCTTTCATGATAAAAATACTCAACTAACTGGGAGTAGTGAGAAACTTCACTAGTCTGACAACCAAAATAAATCCACACCAAGAATAATCAAAATCCCAGAAATTCAACACAAGAACAAAATATTTAAAAAGCTGTTAGAAAAAAGAAACAGATCACCTACAAAGGAAAACCTGTAAGACTCATGACAGACGTCTCAATCCAAACTATCAAGTTAAGAAGAGATTGGAGGGAAGTATTTCAAGTCCTGAAAGAAAACAACTTCCAACCCAGATTGATGTATCCTGCAATATTATCTTTCAAAATTAATGGAGAAACAAGATACTTCCATGACAAAGAACAACTGAAGGAATTTATGACGTCAAGCCAACCCTACTGAAGGACGTTCTAGAGAGAGATAAAAATGATGATTCCAGGAATGGCGACAGAGGTTGATCAGCCAAGCAAGGCAAGCAATTGAATGGAGGGGAAAAGTAGGCAGCCAGTGGCGACCGCTGCCTACTTTGAAAATAGCAAGGCAAAGATGAGCCAGTGCGTGTTCACTATAACCATTAATATACATGGCCTCAATTCACCAATAAAAAGAAACACAAGCAGAGTATATCAGGAGACAGGATCCATCAATACGCGGTATATGAGAAACATATTTAACTCAAAAGAGGGGTTGGTTCATAGACTTAAAGTCAAAGGAGAGAGAATAATACTCTATGTGACAGGGAACCAGAAAGAAGTGGGGATAGCCTGCCCATCAGCCGCAGAGTGGACAACAAAGGTACGGCATGTTTATATAATAGAAAGTTCTTCAGCTATAAAGAAACATAACCTTGAGGCTCTTGTAGGTAAATGGATACAACTTAAATCATGCTCATGGATGAAATGGTTGAGTCACATGGGTGAGTATCATGTTCTCTCCCTAGTACAAAAAAAACTAAACAAGTTAGTGGGATCCAAAATGCACAATATATATTGTGAAAGTGAAAGGGGAGGAAGTATCTAAAAAGGGAAGGCAGTGGCCATTGTTAATGTATTATTGTGATTTGAATCTGTATTGTTTTCATTGTTCTGTTTATTCTGTTTTGCTTTGTCTAATTTTATTATATTTGACGGCATGGACGGTTATTTCAAAGATAACAAAATACAGTAGTCATTATTCATTTCCTATTATCTTGTTTTGAAGCCTGCTACTGCTTTCATTGTTTTGATTGATTTTATTGTATTGTTTTGTTTGATTGCATTATGCCTGATGATATAGACAACTACTTTGAACATAACAAGAGATATTACAGTAGTTGCTATTGTTTTACTATTGCTTTAAAGTTTTTGTATTGCTTTCACTGTTTTTATTGGTTTTATTCTGTACTATTTTGTTTGAGTATATTATGTCTGATGGTATTGGCAGTTATTTTGAAGATAACAAGAGGTATTATGGTAGCCATTACTGATCTCCTTTTATCTTGTTCTGAAGTCATGTACCATGTTTATTGTATTGTTTTGATTGACTCTATTCTGTTTTATTTCATTTGGTTTTATTCTCTTCAAAAAATAATGAAAGAATTGAAAATATATCCATTCATTAGATATAATTCATATAGAAAATTTAATGGAATTTCTAAAAATTTACTACAAGTAGGAAGTTTAGCAAGGTTGGACGACTAGAGCTCAACAAGCAAAAATCAAGTCCTATACATTAGCAATAAAACTCTAAAAATTAAAAATTTAAGGTCTGTATCACTTACAACATCATCAAATAAATGAAATACTTCAGGATAAACTTAACAGAAGGTATAAGAGAACTAAAAACTGACTCCCACACTGCTTAGACAAATCAAAGAAGATCTAAATATTTAAAGACATACCACATTCATGGATCGAACAATTTAATATTGCTAAGATGTCATTTCCTCTGAAAGAACCCACAGACTTAATGAAACACCAATTAAAATAGTAACAGCCTTTTTTGGGTAGAAATTGACAGACTCATTCATATGGAATCACAGAGAACCTAGACTAGCCAAAATACTTTTGAAAAACAATTCGAAGACTAATACTGCCGGAATTCAGGATTTATTACATTGCTACAATAATCAGGATAGTTTAGTACTGACAAGTAGACAAATAGATGAGTAAAACAGAATAGGGAATCTACTGATTTTTGACAAAAGTACACAGGCAATTCAAAAGAGAGAATACTTTTTCAACACATACTGTTGGAGCACCCAAATATCCAAATTCAAAAAGATGAAAAAGG